ACTCCTGACCTCTGGCGATCCTCCCACCTCTGCCTCCTAAAGTGCTGGGATTACAGGCATGAGCCAACGTGTCTGGCCATGGGTTTTCTTGAACCAAAGCATATTCCTTCTCATGTTTAACAAAATCGTGCGTCAGCCCTGTACTTTCCTTGACTCATCCTCCTTTGACTAGTGAATCTCTCAAAAGCTGTAATGAACATGGATGAGTCACTGGCCGGGTACGCTGGGTGGTGGCAGGGGTGCTGGGGTCCCAGCAGTTGGCATCCCCTTTACCAGGATGTACACGGGGCTTCACATACCTATCCTGTTATCTCCTAGGTCAGTTCAATGACACTGTCTGGGTGAAAAAAGGAGACCAGGTCTTGTTTTCTTCCATGTTCGGGGCCAATATTGCCATCCACAACATTGCTGTCAGTGCATGCCCGACTCATCGGTAGCCTGGAAATATTTAGACCTGGTTTATTAACCATACATCTGCCAGGCCCAACCCAGACAAAACATGAAATCGACCGGACGCAGTGACCCACGCCTGTAATCCCAGCACTTCCGGAGGACGAGGCGTGTGGATCTCTTGAGACCTGTCTGGCCAACATGGTGAAACCCATTCTCTACTAAAAACATAAAAATGAGCCGGGTGTGGTGGTGCGCACCTGGGAAGATCGTGAGTCCTCGTCTCAAAAAACAATCGTAACAACAAAAAAAACACAAATCAAACACCCGTCCTTTTTCTTTTTTTTTTTTTAGAGATAGAGAAGGACTTCCTGTGTTGTCCAGGCTGCAGTGCAGTGGTACAATCATAGGTCAATGCAGCCTCTTACTCCCAGGCTCAAGTAATCCTCCCACCTCAGCCTCCTGAGTAGCTGGGATTACAGGTGCATGCTACCATGCCCACATAATATTTGTGTGTGTGTGGAGATGGGGTCTCACCGTGTTGGCCAGTCTGGCCTCAAATTCTGGGCTTCAAGTGATCCTCTCATCTCAGCCTTCCAAAGTGTTGGGATTACAGTCATGAGCCTCTGCTCCTGGCCAAAACCTAATTACACATTCATGAATGACCAAGGGCATGAGCTTCTGTGTCCTTTAAACAATGTAATGGATCATTCCTTGGAAATAACTTTGCTGGTGATGTTGTAACAAAGCGCCACAAACTAAGTGGCTCAGAACAAGACAAATTTGTTGTCTCAGGCCAGATGCTGTAGCCTCATGTCTGTAATCCCTGTACTTTGGGAGCATAAGAGGATCACTTCAGGTCAGGAGTTCGAGGCCAGGCAGGTCAACAGGATGAAACCCCATACCTACTAAACAAATACAAGGCTGGGAGTAGGGGCTCATACCCGAACAAAAACTCCATGGCCATCCCTGTAATCCTAGCACTTTGGGAGGCTGAGGTAGCAGATCATGAGTTCAGGAGTTTGAGACCAGCATGGCCAACATGGTGAAACCCTGTCTTTATTAAAAATAAAAAAAATTAGTTGGGTGTGGTGGTGCGCGCCTGTAATCTTAACTGCTCAGGAGGCTGAGGCAGGAGAACTGCTTGAACCCAGAAGGTAGAGGTTACAGTGAGCTGAGATCACACCATTGCACTCCAGACTCGGGTACAGAGATAGAATCCATCGCAGAAAAAAAGAGAAAACTTAACCAGGCATGGTTGCATGTGCCTGTGTTCCCAAGCTACTCAGGAGGCTGAGGTGGGAGGACTACTTGAGCTAGGGAGGATTAGGCTGCAGTGAGCTGAGATCACACCACTGCACACCAGCCTGGGTGACAGAGTGAAACCCTGTCTCAATCATCAATCAATGAATCAATCAATAAAAAGTTGCCTGTCTCCCAGTTGGGAGGCCAGAAGTGTAAAGTCAGGTGTCTGTAGGCTGGGCTCCCTCTGGAGGCTCTGGGGAAGAATCTGTCCCAGCATCTCTCCTGGCTCAGGCATCCTTTGACTTATAGTGGCCATCGACCTTCTAAGCATGCCTGTCTCTGTGAAAATTTCCCTTTGGGCAGGCACAGTGGCTCACGCCTATAACTCCAGCACTTTGGGAGGCCGAGGCAGGATGGCTTGAGCCCAGAAGTTCAAGACCAGCCTGGGGAACATAGTGAGATACCATCTCTACATAAAATACAGAAAATTAGTTGGGCATGGTGGAACACAGCTGTACTCCCAGCTACTCAAGAGGCTGAGGTGGGAGGAGCAAGTGAACCCAGGAGACTGAGGCTGCAGTGAGCTATGATCACACCACTACACTCCAGCCTTGGTGACAGAACCAGACCATGTCTCAAGAAAACAATATTTTATTCTTTTTCTTTTACTGGCAACAAACATCCCTTTTAGTAAGGATACCAGTTACCTGGGATCAGGGCCCCACCTTCATGCCCCATTTTAACTTCATGACCTCTGTAATGACCCTGTCTCCAAAACAGTCATGCCTGTAATCCCAGCAATTTGGAAGGCTGAGGTGGGAAGTTCACTTGAGGCCAGGAGTTCGAGACAGCCCTGGGCAACATGGTGAGACTTCACCTCTACAAAAACAATTTTTACAAAATAAATGGATGTAGAGGTGTGCACCTGTAGTCCCAGCTCCTCCGGAGGCAGGAGCACAGAGTGAGCCCAGGAGGTCGAGCCTGCCGTCATCTGTGATTGTGCGACTGCACACCAGCTTGGGCAACAGCAAGAACTACTCTGTCTCAAGAGAAAAAAAAAGGTTTGCTGATCCAATGTGGGGTAATTTTTAAAAACTTTAACTGTTTTTTCATATTGCTTAGCTTTTCCACATGAATTCTGTGATTATAACCAGAAAATACCAATCACATTGCTTGTTTTTGTTTTTTGATGTGCAGTTCTGATCTTGTTGCCCAAGCTTGAGTGCAGTGGCATGATCTCTGCTCGCTGCAACCTCTGCCTCCTGGGTTAAGCAATTCTCCTGCATCAGCCTCCTGAGTAGATGGGACTACAGGCGCATGCCACCCCACCTGGCTCATTTTTGTATTTTTAGTAGAGAGGCGGATTCGCCATGTTGATCAGGCTGGTCTCGAACTCCTGGCTTCAAGTGATCTGCCTGCCTCAGCCTCTCAAGGTACTGGAATTACAGGCATGAGCCACCACACCTGGCCATACTTATCTTTTTGCCCACAGAAATGAACAACCATTTCAATTAGTGTTTGTCTTGTTTTGTTTTACTTTAATGAAAACAAACTGGCAGTTATAATTGGGGAGGACAATTTGCACTATGGGAATCTGGGCATAATGCCGAGTTCCATAATCAAAGCGGGTAAAAAGAAACTGGAGATATGGGATGAGGGCGGTGGCACATGCCTGTAATAGTCAGAGCTTTGGGAGGCCGAGATGGGTGAATCACCTGACGTCAGGAGTTTGAGACCAGCCTGGCCAACATGGTGAAACCCTATCTCTACTAAAAATACAGAAATTAGCAGGAACTAGTTGTGGGTGTCTGTAATCT